GGAATTCTGGGAGTTGAAGTCCACCCATTTTAATACTGCCGACGTTAAGATCTACTAAATCTATATATATATAAAAGCGAAATGCCCCTCACGCATCATCACAAAATCTCCAGCACTGTAAAGCCTAAAAACTTGAAATTGGGCATTTATGTTCCTCTTGGCTTCCAGGTGCTGACTAAGAAAGGATTTTTCCAAATGACCATCAGAGCATTAGTATATCCTATATTATTATTATTATTATTATTATTATTATTATTATTATTATTATTAACATGCTCTGATGCTAAGGAGTTCTACTCCCCCTCCCCACCTGGAAAGAAATCTCTTCCAAATGCAAAACACAAGCAGAGGAGTTTCAGTTTTACAGCACCAAGCAGCTTCAGTCCAGAACAGTTGAGCTAAGCCACGCCCATGCTCCTTGCTGTCTCTTTGCTCGCCCAGCAAATACCCTTTCAGTTTCCAAACAGCCCTCAACACTCACACACACTAACAGGACGCTAGCCAGATGAATACCGATGGATGCTGGTAGGCAGAGGCAGAATTTCCCCCCCTTTTTTTCCTCTCCAAAAACTAAGCCCAACCACGTACTTTTCATAGCGAAGCACGGCTATCGAGCTAGTATAAAATAAAACCCACGTTGCAATATTTTTTGCTCATCTTTTTCGCTGCTCTCTCAGGGATCGCGGTAAATCTGGGGTCCTTGACTTGGAAAGAGCGTCACTTACGGATCTGTTGTCATTTCGGCAATTTCAGTTTACGCATCTTTGGAAAAAGGTTTTTTTAAAAAAATCCGTTCGTTTTAGTTTGGCTGCCGAGATTGATTATGGACATACGGACATCTCCGCTCCTTTGGGGCTGGTGCCTTTGGATTGATTGTCCTTTCGACAACTAGGCTTCAGTCTACGCATCTTTAGAAAGTGGGTGTTATTTTGGTTTGTTTTAAATCTGCCCTCCAAACAAGCCGTCCATTAGTTTTAGTTTTGGCTGCCGGAGACTGATTTATGGACATCTCGGCTTCTGGCCTTCGTGATCCCAAATCAAAATATTTATCGGGCTGAAATTCTTCAGCTGCGTCACTGCCAGGAGAACATCTCAGATTGAGTAATCCTCCGTTGTCATTGTCAGAAATATGTTCTGGTTTTGGAGAGAGGCTTTGTGTGTGTGTGTGTGTGCAAATGACGGACAGAAAAGAAGGAACAGAGATTATGAGTGTATCTCTGCTCCCCCCCACTTCCCTGCAATTGTTTGGCTTGTTCTTCCATTTGTTTGCTTCAAATATGTACTAATGGCTTCCTTGGATGGGATCTGAGATTGAGAACTAGAACTGTGGCCAAACAGATGCTCCTGAACAG